AGAATGCTGTTTTGTACGCCTAGCTGGTTTGTGTTTGGTCTGGTCTGCCTGTCGTCAAATGCACAGAGAAACAGACAGACAGACAGAGACAGGAAAACCTCACAAAAGCCCAACCAATCTCACCCTTCGTTCGCCCGCCGTCCGTTGTCGCCGAAAATCAAACTAAAAAACTGACATCCGCCTGACCTAAAACCGAGACACAAAAATTTGTCCGACGCCTGTCTTGCTTTGTCCTAGTTCCTGTTCCTTAATCGCCTTCCGTCCGCTCGTCCGTCCGTGTATGTGTGTAAAAGCGTGCCATACGTCCGTCCATTGCATATGCGTTCCGTCGTCTTTCCATTGGGTATTGTATTGTCTTGGGTATCCCTTCCTCCATTCCTAGAGTAGTACAAAGAAAGTCGTAAACCGACATATGCATGTCTCCTCCTCTTGTTCTTCGTCTCTCTTTGTTTGTGGTCTGTGTATTGTAACAATACGTATAATATGTATGTATGAATGGTAAGGTTTTGTTTATGATTTGATAATGATTATAAAAAGGGATGGGATATCTGAATGCGAAGATGGGAAAAGACCAAGAGAGCTCCGGGGGTATTTGTTGACAGTAGAGAGAGAGTAAGAAAGTAGAAAGATCCCTGTAAAGATGCAAGTAATGATGATGATGAGAGGGGCGACCTTCACCGATGTGATGAGGTCAAGAAAGAAGAAAAATCGCAACATAGGGGAAGGAAACCGGCATGGATGTGGAAAGACCAGACTGGATAGGAGAGATCAAAGGAACGGACGGCATAAGACTTGATGTCCATAGCCCCATATGTCCCAAACGCTCTCCACCCGAATCAGGGCAGGGGTGATGACAAACTTGATGTGAAACCACCAGCATTCTCCGGGACAGCAGGAATGCAAACCTGCCCATGAACCCCTGAAACGCCGATCATCCTTACACATCAAGCTCGTTAACCCTTACCCACAAACCCCGTCGTCCGATTCATGCCGCTCACGTGTCTTCCCGCTCCCGTTCCGTTCCGTGTGCCATCCGGCATGCATTCCATCCCATCAAGGCAGCCCTCCCTGACGCTTGAAAACCCGTTTCGTTCCGCCAACCTTGCCCATGTCGCCGAACTTCCCATCTGCAAGAGCTGGCGGTTCCGACACTTTGCGGCTCATATTGGAGGCGTTCTGCACTTTAGCCTTCATATCCTCTACCCACGCCTTATCCTCCTCGCTCATTTCAATGTTCTTCGTCCGCGGGCCTGCCAATCCAAGCACAATCTCCTCATCGCCACGATGACTGAGGCGGGAGCTTGAGCGAGAGCGAGTCGAAATCGAACGGGAGCGGGCTGCAGCTGATGGGGGTCTTGGCGATGATGCGGCAGTCGCTTTACCAGCCGGGATGAAGGGCGTTCTAGGAGTCGCTTTGGGTGTTCCGGCGTTCTCCTCGCTTGCTTCCGCAGACTTTCTAGTCTTGCGGACGTTCAAGGGAGTATCGGGAGGGGATTGTCGATCCTGGTTAGACCGTCTGGATGGCGGCCGAGTGGGTGAGCTAGAGCCACCGGCTCTTACACGAGGCAGATTGACCTCCACCTTGCCATCTAGCACGACGTTTCGGCGATGGTGACTGGCGAAAACCCTCAGATACTCGCCCAAATCGGCCCATCCACCACCAACTCGTACCATGACCCGTTCGCCATGCTCGCCAACGCATCTGATGAACAGCTTGATAGGGGCATCACCATTGTTCCTCGTAAGGTGGTAGATCTTGATGTCACGATGGCTGCCGCGGTGGCGTTGTCTGGAACTGCGGGAAGGCGCCGGGGCAAGCGTAAAGGAGGGTGTCCCGGCACGAGAGGACAAGGTAGACCTCGTCGACAAGCTGGACTGACTCCGGTTTCGCAGCTCCGGCTTGGATGACTTCCTGTTTAGCGCAGTGAAATCGGGAGGATTCAAATTAATCGGCGAGGGTTCAGAGGTGAGGCGGATCTTAGCCGGCACAGACTCCAAAATCTCACTAATTTGCTGCTGGAGCTGATCCAACTTTTCTTCCGAATTTCCAGCACTAGACTTGGATGGGCTTCCGTCCTCATTGATACCCGATGAATCAAAATTCGACTCGTCAAAGTCCGGCAACTCCGCCACAGTTGGCATGTCGTTAAACCCGCGCGACAATGACCTGAGCCTTGATTTCGATCGGCTGAAGCGTGGAGGAGAGCTTGGCGGGCTGACATCCCGCGAAAGACTGCCGTCAAGATCCTTACTCCGTCTTCGAGAACGATCCGGAGTCTCCTGCTCGAGTGCACGATTTCCAAACACAATGGTTGAAGTGGTGGAGAAGTTGCTACCGCGTCTCGAGCGGGGGAAGCCAGGGAGATCATGCTCGACGCTATCATCGAAGTCGAAGTCCGAATCAAAGGGGTCCAGTTCGAAATATTCGCCATCGGATGTCGCATAGCTCAGACTGGAGGAATGAGGCCTGGAGCCCTTCATACTAGCAACAATATTAGGAGATGGCATCATCCCTGGTGCCGGAGCTTCGTCGATATCAGATCCGTCAAATCCGCCCACAGAACGATCTTCTGCGGGTAGGCGCTCTTCACTGGTTTCGGGTGCTGCAGTTTCGTCCACAAAGGTCCAAGAGTCGTTTTCTCCCTTCTCGGCGTCATTCTCGTCAATTCCGTCCAGAGGAACATGGACTTTGATTAGGGGAGGGACATCGACGTTCGTCTGTTGTTGTTTGCGTTCATCCAAGTCCAGCTTGGCAGTGGTATCGCTATTAATTGGCGCAACAATCTTCAAATCTGCTTGTTTGATCTTGAGCTCGCAAGCAGCAACCCATTCGCCATACTGCTTCTCTAGAGACTCTACTCGGTCCAGCCATTCGTCAGGAAGCGTGTATTCCCATCCTTCCAGATTGTCAAGCATGACGTCTAGGTCGCGACCGGCCTTTGCGACTTTCTTCTCCAGTACTGACTTCATCACGTTGAACTCGGCCCATGATAGCGGCGAAGGCGGCCTATTCGGTATCGCGCGAGCATTGGAATCCAACCCAGCTACATTCCGTCCAGACTGAAGAGCAATTTCTCCATCGGCGAGAGTATCCAGGAAGGCGGGAACCCTCTTCAGAACAAGCAATCGAATGCTCCAGGAGTTTAGGAGCCTGCTAAGACGAGCCAAATTTGGTAGGGTTTGCATGATAGTGGCCGTGAGAAATGCCGTAAGGTCGTCCATGTGGGCATAGCTTGGGGGAGATCGGTTCGAGCCCAGGATCGGGGAGCCGGATGTTGATAGCGGGACAATATGGTTGCGCAAAACATGGTTCTTGATTTCCTCGATATCGATTTCCTCCATGCTCTTGTAGATCTCCTCCACACGCTTCTCATATCGGGCAACCTCAGTAGCAGGCAGGCTGCCACAATATAGCTTGTCAGGTAGTTCTGATCTGGATTCAAACTTCCTTCTCTTCGGGTCGGGCACCTGAAAGCCAGCGGAGCCAGCGCCGGACGGCCATAACCACGAAGAGAGCTCATCGAGCCATTCCTGGATCTTGTTGCTAGCAACGGCGGCTCGGAGAGCAAAGGCTTGCTCGGTTGGGGAGGCGGAAGCCATGCATGCCCTGAATTCCCCCGTAGGGTTCCGTATGGTATGGAGTGCCGTGCGCGGGCTGAGGTTGGACAAGAGGTCGTCGTTCTCGCGGTACTGCCGGGGAGGCGATTCGGTAGAGGATCGTGGGGGGCGGCTACGTGGGGTGACGACCGCAACGGCGTGGGAGAGGTTGGGAGAGGAGGAGGGGGATCTGGTCATGGTATTCGGTGTTCGTTGTAGGTCTTGTTCTCATGGGCGTGTTGTATGTCCGGCTGGACGGCAGCATAACGGCGCTGTTTCGTATTATTCTATGAACCTGGGGATCTCGCAGATACGATGCTGTCGTCGGCTCCCATAGTCTAAAAGAGGTCGGATCGGGGAGTGTCTCGTTGGGAGTCGGACACCGCCTGGAGCAATGTCGTCTTCCGCAGTCGATTCGGGGTGGGAGGAGGCAGTCTGATATGGTCGCAGAGCTCGGAGATCGGATGATATTATAATGAGTGGTAAGGATATGTTGTAGGTTAAAGGTACTAGGTTATTGGAGTTGTAAGAAGGGTTGGCAGGCGGTCGCCGGTTACCGGTCGGCAATCGCCAGTCGTAGAAATTAGAAAGCCAGAAGATCAGGCAAGTACGGCCGGATCTTGAGCTTATGAATATGGTGACAACGGAAGGTGCGTCGCGGTAGCTCTTTCCGTGGCCGTGAACAATGGATGGTTGCACAGAAACAAGTAGTTGTACCCGACCAGTCGCAAATCTGAAATTACGGAGGAGGTACTGAAGGAGGTACTGGAAGTTATCGTATTGCTTCCGTATGTGTAGGACAACAAACAAGCAAGTGGACTTGTCGCAAACTGGCAGGAGCAGCAATCAAGGCGGGGAATAGAGGTCCGAGGTACGCAACTGGTACGCAGGAGAACACGGAGAAGACGCAGGAGGGACTGCGCTAGAACGAGAATGCGGTCGATCAGGTGGATGGCTCTAGGAGTAGCGTAAGGACGGTACGCAGCATGTACGTAACAATGCAGAACTGTTGGCGGCGGGATTGGATCAAACGAATTGTAACGAATGGGCTTGGAAGGCGCAAAGGGGGCTCGTGAGAGGGTAGTGGGCAGCAAAGAAGGGCCGTGGTCCGTGGAGGGGAAGGTACTAGGGGAAAAACGAGTGCACTGAGTGGCGGCAGCGCGCAGGGGCGCGTTCGAAATTTCGACGCACGAATCCGAGTTGTTGATCCGTGTACAAAGCTAAAATCTAGAGTACTGACAGGGATGAGTCTGTACTAGTTTTCTTTCTTTTCTTCTTTCTTTTATTGCATAGTAGCGCCTGCACGTACTATAAATAAGGCCACATAAATTATATAAATTATTATCAAAATACTTAGCAGAAAGTGTCATCTTTCATGCTATAATACTATAATTATCATAACGAACTCAAATTTAAAATTATTTATAAACGGATAATTTCATTTAATAGCTAGAAAATTACTGTATACAATAATATATCGTTTACATGGTTGCTCAATTAGTAATTAATATTATTTGTTACGATGCACTATCTGCCACCGCCGTAACATTATTAACTATAGAAATTTTAAAAAGAAAAAAAAGTGGATATGAATAATAGTCTTTAACAATAATAATTAAAATTAAATAAACTACGGCAACTATACTTTTAAACTTATAATCTAAATTATTATTGGTAATGATGGTAAATTAATATAAATTAGTAATTTTAAACTAATTAAATAGAAAAAAAGAGGGAGGAGAATTGAACCGAATCCAACTAAATAGAAAATTGGCTGAATATAAACATAAGCGTCAACTTCATGATTCTATCAATTAAAATCCTCTATCAACAACACTTCTTTCTACCATTTTATTTATTACTTTATTCAATCTACCTATTGCACTACCTACTATTTTTTCCAACCGCTTCAATATTGCTAACTTTATTGATAATAATACCTTCCGCTTAAATAAATTTATTAATAATAGCTTTCATTATATATAGTAATTTAGAAAGTAAAAGAATCTCCTTATTGATATTAAAGGTTTTGATAATATACCACAGTAATATATTCCTCTACGACAATATAATTTACTCGTTTATACTACTACAAATAAATATAATATTATTAATAACCAACTCTCTACTACTATTAGTTTTATAACTATCAACTACCTTTATCCTCCTTCTCCTCTGCTAATTACCCCGCCAACCTCTAAACCAAAACTTATTTCTTAAATATTATACCAGTACGCGTACTTACTCGCATTGCCTATTTCTTTGATTAACTATCTCCTATCCTTCTACTATAATTATTCTTATATGAATTAATTGATGTAGGAGTTAAAGTAGAAATTAAATTTAAAATCGGAATTAAGGAAGTTATAATAACTAAATGAGATAACTGTCACGGCGTAACCAAAGGGCAAGTTGTGTACGATTTGATTAACTTAGACTAAGAATAAAAAGCTGAAAAGGGAAGAAATCTCAAAAGAGAAGGCTCGATGCCAGAGCTGGGTTTTATACCCAGACCACAAGCGACAACTATGACGGCTGGCACCATCTGAGCTATCACATGCCTGCCATCAAGGCTCCCATTCACAGGTTTGGATGTCACTGGTTGTCGTCTATAGTCTAGGTATAAAACCCAGCTCTGGCATAAAGTGTTCCCTTTTAGGATTTCTTCCCTCTTCAGCTTCTTATTCTTAGTCCAAGATAAGTCAAATCGTACACAACGTGCCCTCTGATTACGCCGTAACAACAGCCAGTAACAGCCAAACCCGTGAATGAGATGACCCGATTGAACATCACCTATGTGAATGAGAACCTTGATAATAGTGCATGTGACAGCTCAGATGATGCCAGCTGTCACACTAACTTCCAACTAAACTTCTATTAAAGCTCTCTACTTCTACTTAGTTATTATAGTAAGATAAATTAATTTATAGTAGTAGTAAGAATAGTAACAATAAGAATAATAATGATCTTTTATTTAATACTTCCATTATACGGTTGCAATTAATAATCTCTCTCTTTAATATCTAATCCCTAATTTCCTAACCGGTACCTTCCGAACCGCTAACTATATAACTGCTGAATACTTTTACCTCTATTATTACTAATACTACTACTACTACTACTACTACTACTACTACTACTACTACTACTACTACTACTACTACTACTACTACTACTACTACTACTACTACTACTACTACTACTACTACTACTACTACTACTACTACTACTACTACTACTACTACTACTACTACTACTACTACTACCACTACTACCACAGCCTTACTAGGTGACATCAGAACTGAAAGCCTGGGATCCAAGTGAGACAACAAAGATTGAGACAGCCCGTCCAGAAGCTCCTTTTGTCGACAAAGATCTTTCCCTATCGGTGGTCCAGGATAACATCCTCACTCACCATGGGTGTCGTACTAGAAGTCAAAGACGGCAAAGTGTCCCCGACACGAGCCCTCATCAGCACAACCACCACTCTGCTCGCCAGTTACTGGCTCTACATCCTCCTATCCACCATCATCATCCGCGCCGCCTACAACCGCTACGCCTCACCACTTCGCAAATACCCCGGCCCGTGCCTTGCCTCCTGTTCACGCCTTTGGAAAGTCCTCTCCACAGCCCGCGGCCGAACCCACCTCGATCACATCGCCCTTCATCGCAAGTACGGCCCCGTCGTGCGGATCGCCCCAAACGAGGTCTCGGTAGCATCGCCCGAAGCAGCCAGAACACTGCTAAGCGCCGGCAAGCGTTTCTTCAAGACGTCCTTTTACGGCGTCTTCCCGCCGCCTGAAAACCCTGACATCTTCACCGAGACGCGCGAAGATGTCCACGCTACCAAAAAGAGAGTCGCCAACGTGCCTTACAGCATGGCGGCCATGCAACAGCTGAGTCCCTTTATCGACGACACCATCGAGCTGCTGGCGCGCAAGATCGACGAACATATTTCCCTTCACAAGAATGGGGTGTTTGATTTGGGGGATTACCTCCACTACTTTGCCTTTGACGTGCTTGGCGAAGTAGCCTTCAGCCGAAGCTTTGGGTTTCTCGAACAGGGTCGGGACGTGGATAACGCGATCAAGACGATCGACAAGTCCCAGACGTATAACGGGATTGTGGGGCAGGTCCCCGAAGTGGATTACTTGTTGAGAAGGAATCCGCTGTGGCAGTTCGTTCCGTGGTTGAGCACCAAGAATGCGCTGATCACAAGGATGGCGCTCGAGGAGATGGGGAGGAGACAGCCTTTCAACAAAGACACGGCGGTTTTAAAGAGTGGAAGTGGTGATTGTGATGGGAGGCAGGACTTGATGGCTAGTTTGATACTGGGGCACCTGAAAACCCCGGAAAAGTTTGGCGTGGGGGATGTTTTTGCTGTTGCGCATGGTGCTATGTATGCTTTTCGTTTATCCCCCTTTTGTTTCTTTCCTCTGCGGTAACTAAACCCTTTTCACCAACCAACAGCTTCGCCGGCTCCGACTCCACCGCCTCAACAATGCAATCCTTCTTCTACCACGTCCTCTCATCGCCCTCCACCTACCGATCTATCCTTTCCGAGGTTCAGACCGCCGTTTCTTCGGGTATCATCCCCGCCACGGGTAACCTTACCTGGAACCAAGCCCAGAACTTGTCTTACCTGCAAGCCTGTCTCAAAGAAGCCATGCGCGTCCGTCCCGCTGTCGGACTGAACATCACAAGGCTTGTACCACCAGAAGGCGCAGAGCTGGATGGTCATTTCTTCCCCGGAGGCACGAGCATTGCTGCCAACGGATGGGTGTTGCATCGTGATAAGACGACGTTTGGGCAGGATGCGGATGAGTGGAGGCCCGAGAGGTGGCTGGAGAACGAAGAAGAGGCGAGGAGGATGGAGAGGTATATGTTTCAGGTGAGTACACCCCGTTCGATGAAGCTTACCTAACGAGGAGAAAGAGGCTAACCATGATAACAAAACACAGTTCGGTGGCGGAAGTCATCTTTGCATTGGAAGGAACTTGGCGTTGTTGGAGATCAATAAGGTTGTGCCGAGACTGTTGAGGGATTATAGGTTTGAGCTGGCGCATCCTGGGAGGGACTTGAAGGCTAATGCGTCGTTCTTTGTGGTGCAGAGTGGGTTGGAGGTTTTTGTGCGTAGGGCGTGATTTCGGATTGACAGTGAGTCAATCGTTTGGTTGGTGTTGATCATGGTTTGTTTCCTTCCCTCTCTCGGCCCAACAGCCTCGCTTCCAGTTCTTACACCTACCTGTCCTGACAGTACGCGTCTGGTAACATCTAGAAGCAAGTACAAGAACACTAGCAACGTTCCAGTTACCGGGATCTTTTCCCAGGTACAACAGTTGCCGTACCTTGGTAACGTAATTCTTGGGATTCAACTCCACGTGAACTTCCAGACCAGTTACCGAACAATCATTGACTAGGTCCAGCCTCCACTCCCAAAGGATAGTACAACCCTGGTTATTAGCCTGTAGGATGTATAAGCAATCAAGATAAACGAGGGCGGGAGGAAGCGAACCGTGATATCGGCGAATGGGAACCTCCAAAGCCTGAGTTTATCCATATTCCCAACTCCGGGCACCACCATTATGGCCAAGCTCAGTCTGGAAATCCTACCAAAAATAACAATTTTCCAATCCTCTGCATGGAACTATGGAACCACCTCACGCCTTCCATACTTGACAACAATGGCGACAGCTCAGTGTAACCAGCTTCGGTTACCATTCCGACTTGAACGCTTCAACCAGCTTACGGACCTTACGGACTTGCGTCTCCCAGCCCAAGAAATGGTAGCCTTTGCTGTCATCTGAGTCCGACGATGGTTGCCCAGTTCCTACTTCCTGTTCCATCGGCGGAGGCTGACATTCAGGTAGCGAGTAGAGGAAAGCCGTGGTTCGAAGCCGGCGAATCCATACCATAAGAAATCGCGTGCTACTACAAGCTTTCCGGATCGATCGACGCCGGAGTAGAAGCCCTTGGGGGACATAATGCGAGTAATATATAAGTGATAATCCCCAAGCCAGTATGGTAATGATCACCCGCCCTCTCCTCTGTGCAGCATGCTTGGAGAAGGAGTTTATTGTCACGGCTTCAGATAGAGTGAGGGATCACCACTGACCATCAAGGGACGAGAGCTTCGGCAATCAACCTACGACACTTCACACCCCCTTCTCTTCGACTCCTGCCGCCATGGGTCCCTTCTCCCTATTGTTAAGGGTACTCCTTTTAACCTTGGCGACGATCTCCCACCACAATGGTTTCGTTTTCGCTCAAACAATAGGATGCAACCGAACAGTCAAAGCCAAGGCCGGAGACACCTGTGCCACAATCGCGGCTGCCAACGGGATAACCGTCTCGCAGTTCCTCCAGTCCAACCCCGGCGTGACCAGTTGCTCACAGCTCACGGTTGGATACGACTACTGCGTGGAAGGAACATTCGGCACCGATCCACCTGCGCCGACGGGTCCAGCTAATACAGTCAGTATTGACGGCACTTGCGGGAAAGGCGTTACTTGTACTGGGTCCCGCTTCGGCAACTGCTGCTCGGAGCACGGATTCTGCGGCGGAACGGCCGAGTACTGCGGGGCCGGGTGTCTACCTGACTTTGGGATATGCGGCGTTGAGTCCGGGCCTTCGTCAACTTCGGCGCCGCCGGTTACTTCACCCCCTACTGGGCCGGGGGAGCCGTGTGGGACGGTGACGGTTACGACTATTGCTTCGTATATCTCGGTGACTACGAGGACGGCGACGTCGGTTACGACCGCCACTGCGACAGTTTCGGCAACGGCTACAATTACCACAACGGCAACGGCAACGTCAGTGGTTACGACTACGGCTGGTGGAACGACGGCTACGAGGACGGTGACTGCCACGGCAACGGCTACGTCGACGATCACGGCTACCGCGACTACTGCCATTACGCAAACATCGGTGATACTGACGACGTCGACGAATATTGTCATCATCACGGTTCCAGCGACAGTCACTGCTACTTCAACATTGACAAGGACAGCTACTACGGGGGTTACTCAGACCTCCGTAATTTTGACGACGTCAACAAATGTGGTTAATGTAACGAATACCGTGCCTATCACCGCCACAGCCACAGCAACTTCCATCTTGACACTCACAAGCATCACCACATCGACAGCTACCACGGGCGCTACCCGCACCGTGACTTCAGTGATAGTGACAACCTCGACAAGCATCATTAACGTAACCAACACCATCCCGGTTACAGCCACGGTACCCGTCACTGCAACCACCATCACCACAGTCATAACAACCCGGACAGCAACCAACACCGTCCCTATTACCAACACCATCCCCATCACCGCAACCGCAACGACAACCGTGACAGCAACCTCCTACACCGGCATAACCCGCACCTCGGTGATCCTCACCACATCGACCAACATAATCGACACCACCAACACCGTGACCCTAACCAAGATCAACACCCTCACCACCACAGTCCCCGTCTACGTCACCAGTACCCAAACAAAGCCCGTAACCGCCACAATCCCAGTTTACATCACCAACACCAAACAAGTCACCGCCACAATCACCGCGACATCAACAACCTACAGCTACTCCATCGCCACTCTAACCACCATCCTCACCGAAACCCAGACGTCAACGAGTGTGAAGACGTTGACGAGTACGCGACTGACGCAGATTACTAGCACGTCTATCGACACCTTGACTTCAATCATCTATACGACAGCGACTGCTACCAAGACTGTGACGGACACCAAGACGCCGCCGGCTGTGACGACTAGTATCACAGTGACGAAACCGGGACAGGTGACGACTGTGACGGCGACGGTGACGAGTACCGTGACTGCGGCACCGGGTGGTGGTGGGAATGGGAATGCGCCTGGGCCGGTGGTGCCGGGGACGAGCAAGACTTGTGGGTTTACAAAGAATTTCTTTCTCAGAACGGCAACTTTGAAACTTGCTTGTGTGGTGATTTGAGTTTTACTTACTAATGATTTTTGTTCCCGGGAAATCTAGGCAAGGCATATGATAAGATTGTCAACGACGATAATTGTAGGGATATTGCTAATCGGAATGGGTTGTTGTTGTTGGATTTGTGAGTATCCTTTTTCATTTGTTTATCTTCTCCTCCCATCCACTTTCCCCTTTTGGCCTTCTTCTTGAACATTACGCTGACCCAAAATGCTCCCCCAACAGCTACAAACTTAATCCAAGTGTAAGTCTAAACAGTAAATTCCGCTGATAGAGTGACTCGGAGCTTTGTGGGTTGTTGTTGTTGTTCTTTTGCGCTAACCGACGACGCCGTGAAAACAGATCGACTGCGATAACTTGTGGGCGGGATACTACGTCTGTACGAGGGCGTAGGGGTAGGATTAGGAAGAGTTATGAGGAGGTGGTGAGAGGAAGTTTGCTAGAGGAGAGAAACGGGGCTGAGAATATGATCGTTATGGCCGAGTGTCTACGGATCTGCAGACAGGTACCTGCAGTAGGTAGAGGTACCTTGATGGCCGATGCGGAGGTGATAGCGTCTTGGCGCCTGCAGTAACGGAAAGTCCCTTCGTTCTGCGGTAACCTTCTGGAGATTATGTGTATTTCCGTTAGTGCTTTCAGTAACGCCTAACGCTCCTCTAGCCCGCTCTCGTCCCCTCTGTGCCCGCGGCTCATGGTCATTCCGTAAGACTTATCATCGGAACAATAAACAACCAACACGACACTACTATCGTCGGCTCAGCACACCACACACTCTCCGGCGGAAAGGAGCGAAAGGAAAACGGACGATTCTTTATCAGACCGACACACTTTCCTCTCGAAACCACGCGACAAATTCCTTCGATCGGATATTGCAAGCTGCAGTTACCGTTACGTGAATCCAACGTCACCATCATGCACACCTTCCGATCCTCATCCTTTTCCCATTCATCCAACCAGCCGCTTTACCCCAGCTTTGCCCAGCTTTGCCGAGCAGGCCGAGCCCGTTGATCGTCGAATCGACGGGAAACCCGCCCATCCCCCACAAAGTAAATGGAAACACCGGGGCCGACGGCTGGACTAGACTTTCGAAATCTCAAGCCACCGTCGTTCTTGAAGAAATGTAAAGTAAGCGAGCGGGGTATGGGGTATGGAGTAGCCGTTGGCCGTTGACAGTTTCTCCTCTCTATGTGCATACCCGTAATATCGCCATCACTGTCACCTCATGGATCACTCCTTCCATCGGCTTTTGGACGATGAATTGAAGGAAGGGAAGAGAGACAGCCCGATGGAAACGCGGAATTTCTCGGTAGGTTTGTCCCGTCAAGGACTGAATCAGCAACCTCAGATAATATGCCAAGGGGTGATATTATATTGCAACCCTCTCCCACTCTTCGGACAACTGACTCGAAACACACCGAGTTCCGCCCCAAACTATTTACACCTCCCATATCGGATCACCAGCACTGCAAGCATCAACCCCCGACCGGCGATCTCCCCGCAACGAACGACACCCAAACCCGGTCCGAAACACTTGTCAAGGAGCCTTGGCATCTTGAAACATCACCACCATGCAGCAGCAGATCTGAGTGATCCCATCCCCATCGATTACATCATCGGTGGTCGAGAGTCGAGCATCTCCAACCCGTTGCTCCCGATCCTACCGATCCCACAACAATCATAAAACACCACGATAAGAACACAGCAACAACAACGCCTACATACCCACCAACAAGTCACCGACAAGCGCAGCCTTACCACCAGACCAGACAAAATGCTAAAAGAAGCCTCCTCAGTAACCGCCCTCCTCTCCTCCCTCTCCGCCCTCGCCGAAGCCAACCCCTCCCGCCGCGTCCGCGCTCCTCTCCGGATTCACTTCCCCGGATTCCCCTCTCCCACAACGGTCTCCTGCCCAGGAACCCCCCTCTCAAAGGACGCCGCCGCCCTCCCCCCTTCTTACTCCATCTCCGCCACCGCTCTATCCAACATCACCCTACCCAACTGCGACCTCAGTCCCGTCTCCAGCCACTCTTCTTCCTCCTTCTCAGAACCCGGCGACCCTGGCACCAACACTGGGCATTCTAGGAGAAGAGGATCAGAAGCCAGCAACGCCCAAGGCAGCATCCCTCATTACATGGTGATCTGCCTCGACCTCGACCCGCCTTTCCCCAGTTTCCCCGTGCTGGCGCCGATTTTGCATTCTTTGGAGGCGGACCTGAGACTGGAGACGGAGGAGCTGGATGCTGACGAGGGGTATATTTACCTCACGGCTGACGAGGTGGCTGGTGGGTCAGAGGGTATTAGACACGCTAGGAGTGAGATGAGGACGAAGCCCGTGGTCGGGTATATGGGACCGAATCCGCCCGGGGTGAGTAGTCCACATCGGTATATCTTCTTGTGCTGGGAGCAACCCGGGGGTGTGGATGGGCGGAAGGTCAGGGAGGTCTTGGGATTGGATAGTGAGCAGGAGAAGGAGGATGTGGGGATGGTGACGAGGGTGAGGTTTGATCAGGAGGCGTTTGAGAGGAATTTGGGCCTGGGGCAGGTGGTGGCGGGGAATTATTTTGTTTGTTGATGATGATGATGGTCTGATGTTGGTCTCGGATGGGGAAGATGAGGAGAGAAACGGATCGGGTTCGGGAATTGGAGGACAGCAATATGGGAAGACGAGAAGACGACGAAAGTTGGGTACTTTTATGCCATATCTATCTCTGAGAATTGCTAATCGTGGATTAGGTCGGGAAGACCGCAAGATTTGGTTACATACCGGAGATTGTAACAAAGATTGTAATACTACTTACTATACCTGTCTTTCAATTATTGCCTAAATTGGGGGTTCAAACCGGCCATGATGCGTCACATCTCCTCGACAACCCAACATACTGTCAATCGCCCTCGAGATATCAGCACATAGTCTTGACACTCCCTTCATTACATCTCAGATGAAAGAAAGAGGCCCAGGAATTCAAGTTCAGCATCCTGGCTTTTTCCGAGGGCGTATAAGGCGGGAGAACCGGGATTGATGTTTAGTTGGCAGACGACGACTTGTACACCGCCAGGACCGGTTGTTTGGGAGGGTTGGGTGGCTGATGAGAAGGAAGATAGTCGGCCGAACTGCGTGGACAATATTCCAGAAATTTGGCACTTTATCACAGGAGAGCCAGTGATTGAGGCAAAGTTGCGCAATGTTGAGATAGGACGGGAACGTTCAAGACACTCGACAAGTTGTTTGTTTGTCTACGATACCTACCTTTCCTCCTTCATTCCCAGCCTTCCTTTAGGTTTCTTCCTGCAGGCAACCAGCCGCAGCCCAAATCCTCACCCTTTAAACATAAGCATATGTCCCAACCCAAACTTACAACAAATCTAGATGAATGGGCGTATAGTTCAGTGGTAGAACGTCTGTTTTGCAATACCTTGCTTGCCCTCGGTACCCGCTTATACAGAAGGTCCCGTGTTCAAACCACGGTTCGTCCATATTTCTTTTGCTTGATTTCTTACAATACAAGACTGGTATGTTTGTTAGTTTGGTACAAAAAAGCGCCCAATTCCACGCTCGAGCCACTGGGAGTAGAAAAGCATTCGGGATTCGAACGAAGGGGGCCTGCCCTTTTATATCTTCCAGCTTTCAAAGCCTCAAAAGAGACGTACAGAAGCATCACGGCAGGCGGAGAGAGACAGAAAGAGGCTTTGTGGCGCTTTCTACCTGGTCGCATTGTCAGTGCCTTCAAACGAAAACCCAAAGGAGGCCAATGAGGGCTCTAAATCTCCCCTGTTTAACCCTGCTCCGAAGTACCAAACTAACAAAGAAACCAGTCTTGTATTTATTTGATTCTTTCTTTACACCTAATTTCTCTTTTCTTTTTTGTCTGGGTTGGGTTTACTTCGCTCGGAAGGAAGCCTAGGTCTACTTCCTGTCTTCACCTCCAAACAGAACATGTGATGGTGTTGATAGGTGCCTATTATTCAGCCTACCCAGTCGAGTGCTTCATCCACTCCTAAAAGCTCAAATACACTCTACTCTCCCACGGCCTCAACGTGCCAGCTTCCATACTAGACATATCCTTCTTCCTCAGGGTCGTCACCAACAGCCGCTCCTCCCCATGTTTACATCCCGGCGTCGCTGCCACATCGAGATTATGCTCCTGAAGATTGGCCGGCTTCCCAGAGAAGTTCATAACCACAAGCGCCTTCCTCCTCTTCTCAGCCTGGACATCCCCCTCTTCAAACCCTTGATCGTCCTTGACATAAACAAACAGTGTCTCATCCTCTTGCAGCACAGGCCTGAACGCTCCATGAACAAACAAGCCGCTGTACTCCTTCCTCAACTTCAGAATCTTCTTGTAGAAACCCAAAATCGACTCATCATCCCTTCCGCTTTTCCACATTCAAGTCTTTAAACCCATCATGTACCCTCATCCACGGTGTCACTCCGTCCGACGTGAAACCGGAATTAGGCGACGCATCCCACTGCATCGGTATCCTCGAGTGATCTCTCGCCAGGATCCTCAGCCCTTCCTCCGTCTTCCTTATCCTCTCCACATCCCCAGACGCCTTCGCCTCTTTGTAAAAATTCAAGCTCTCGACATCCTTATACTCGGCCTCAATCGGCCAGTCTTTGGGCATATTCACCATGCCAATCTCCTGCCCCTGATACAAGAAGATGGTCCCCGTCAGCGTCGCCTGCCACAACGCAATAGTCTTCGCGCTAGCCTCCCACGCCTCAGCGGTGGAATCGTCTCCAAACCGCGACACCGCCCGCCCGTTATCGTGGTTCTCGCAAAACACCGTGTGCCACCCGTCCGTTCCCTCAAGCCACTGCTGCCACGTCGCCACATACTGCTTGAGTTCCGACAGCGGGAATTCTCTGTATAGATACTTGCCGTGAAACGGCCCGCCCGTGCCCAAGCGGATGGTGCTAAACTCAAACACCATGTCCAGCTCCTTGGCCGCGGCAGAGACATACGGAAGGACCTGTTCGGGAAGCGGGGTGTTGGACAGCTCGCCCACAGAGACGGCGTTGTATGGTGCCAGCACTTGCTCGTTCATCTCGCGGATGAACTCGTGGATGCGCGGACCGTTGCACCACATCTCCGGCGCGGGCTGGTCCGTCTCGCCCGGCATGGTGACGGGGGCATCGGGGAAGTCGACGCGCTTGGAGTACTTGTTGACGGTGTCGATGCGGAAGCCGTCGACGCCGCGGTCGAGCCAGAAGCGCATGGCTTCATCGTAGATGGCCTTGCGACATTCTGGGTTTTCCCAGTTCAGGTCCGGTTGGGAGGTGTCGTACAGGTGCAGGTAGTACTCCTGGGTGTGCTCGTCCCAGGTCCAGGTTGGGCCGGCGAAGTAGCTGCGCCAGTTGGTGGGCGGCATGCGGTTGCCATTGGCATCGTAGCGAGCGGGTTTCCACATGTACCAGTCGCGCTTGGGGTTGGTTTTGGACGAGCGCGATTCTTGGAACCACGGGTGTTGGTCGGAGGTGTGGTTGACGACCAGGTCAAGGATCAGCTTCATGCCACGGGTGTGACAGGCAGAAATTAGATAATCAACGTCCGAGAGAGTGCCGTAACGCGAGAAAACGGCTTGGTAGTCCGAGATATCGTAGCCCATGTCCTTCTGCGGAGACTCGAACATGGGAGAGAGCCAGACACAGTCGACACCTAGGTCATGGAGGTAGTCAATCTTGGCGATGAGGCCGGGGATGTCACCCCAGCCGTCGTTGTTGGTGTCTTTGAAGCTGGCTGGATAGACTTGGTAGAAGACGGCTTCTTTCCACCAGGGAGTCTTGCCCACGCATAGGGAGGTGTCATTTACGGAACCCATGGTGGAGAGTGTAGGTTGAGCTCAAACGGGTACAGGTCGATATACTGTTGCAATTATTAGCCTGATATTCGCAAAGAGAGCTACCACAACCCGCCTGAAAGGCGTCAATGGCCGGTCAAGTTTCCTGGTTGTCTACCGAAAACATGTTTTCAGTATCTGACTAGGAATACTCACAGTGAGATCAGGCGTCGCTCATCAACCCGAACGCATGAACTGAAGGTAAAGAGTCGACAGAAGCTTTCGATGTGAGATCGTCTCCAGGCGTACTCAAGAACAAAGGTTGCTGAGAAGACTTTGACCCAAATAAAATTTGGTAAAGATGAAGATGAAAGGCGGAAGAGGAGAAAAGTTCCTGGAATGATCTTCATGTAACGTCGAGTAGGGAGGGGTACAATCCTACATTACTTATCCGCGGAGAGCCTGTGTCAAGGATTTGAAAGCCGAGGAGTGAACACCGGTCGGAGAAGTAAACAAATGCTCATCAGCAAGGCCACAAAGCGGACCTTCGGCTGGCCGAGATGCCACCGGATAGGAAAGCCGGAGTGTCCGTGTCGGAGTCGGAGCTCTGATGATTTGAGAATGTCGCCTCGGTCCATCTCCTCGCCTGGTTGAATGAACTTCCTCTGATGTCGGGGATGGTGGAATGGGTGCTATGATTGCCACTATCCTTGCTCAACGTCTTTCAATCTCCGACTCCCTTGTCGCCTTCAAAGATATTTTTTGTACCGTCCATTGGCGGCTTAAGACGTACGACAGCACTAACAGCGATTTGAACGTCTTGGTCGGTGACGATGATACTCGCCAAGTACCTTCAAAGGAGCCAAGTCATGACCTAAGAATCCCATTGGCTCAACCACCCGCCGCCCCAAGAGTGTCCTGAACACGTCCAAAGGGCCACAAACTCCGACACCCATGGCCTCAATGCAACCCCATTCCCTCTGACAGATCCACAGACGTCACCGGCTTGTCTTCTTTCCCTCAACTTTATTGGTTTCAAAGAAATTCTTTCAGTCATTCACACTGACCCAGCACTCTGGAAATCGCCATGTGCCATATGCCGGGGCAAAATGCGAAACAGCGAAAACGAGATCCATCCCCTTACCCCGGATTTATGGACCTGACTTGAGCGATTAAACGTGGGGTCCGGGGACTGGAGAATGGGGGATGGGTGCAACCTCGAGCGGAGTTCTTGGGGAGTAGAGTCTGGGGTTTGCTCCGACACTGCGGTCGGTCAACGGTTTTGCTAGTCTTTCTGGGGGGCTGGACTTCAGGAAGAGTCGTTCTTTCGTCAGTCTTTTCAGCGAAGGATAACACAACACCGGAAACTCGCAAGAATCCAGTGATCACCTACACAAGTCATGTCATATGACCACCCGTTTATGCTGCAAAATATTCCCTTTTCGGCGAGGGGATGATGTGTGATGTGATGTCACCCTAGATGGTAAGGGTAAAGCTTCAGCGAGCTATCGATGCTCTACCGCTCAGGCAAGCTTATCATCGGTTTCTTCTGATCGATTTGGGATACAGAGTGACCATGGTTGCCACACCCGGACGCCGACATTTTTTTCTCGGCAACGCGGGCTGGCCTGGATTCCTGGATTCTGGGGGCCATTGGGCAATGCCGACGACGATCCACCTACCGGCAGGCAGACGGAGTGGCAGACCACTAACACCGTCTGTTCAACCTGTTTTGGGAATATTGCTCCTCCCCCTTGACCTTCCTTGATGCTGGCACCGCAACCACGATGACTGCGGTCGAAGACACATAAAGGCGCTGGGTTTCCGGCACCCTTCCTGGCGATGCTTCCTGTTCTTTCTTTTCATCTTCAGACTCCTCCATGAGTTGGATATTCCCTCCCCATTTCCACTTTTGCATCATCTCTATAAATCTTCGTTTGAGGTAATTTGACTTCCTCACCACTCCACCACCACAATGGCGGACCAAAAGCCCCTTGCCTCCTCTTCGCCCGAAAAGGCCAGAGAGGTAGGCACCACCACCACCTCCTCCCAACCCCATGACGATGTCGTCCTTGTCGAAGCCAAACAAGCCGCCGACACCGAGCACGAAATGACCCTCCTCCGCGCCATCAAGCTCTACCCCAAAGCCATAGGCTGGTCCGTCCTGCTCTCCTCAACCCTCATCATGGAAGGCTACGACCTGGCCCTGCTAGGAAGTCTCTATGCCTCGCCCGTGTTCAACCAGAAATTCGGCGAGTTCGACGCGGAGAAGGGCAAGTACGCCGTTTCCGCGGCTTGGCAGTCCGGTCTGTCCAACGGAGCAAGAGCCGGAGAGATCTTCGGCTTGATCTTTGCGGGATGGGCGGCTGATCGGATTGGGTACAAGAACACGACGATTGCGAGTCTGGTGTTGATGATTGCGTTCATTTTTGTCTTGTTTTTTGCGCCGAATATCAAGGTTTTGGTGGTAGGGGAGATTCTTTGTGGTGAGTTTGCAATCTCGTATCAGGCATATACCGTTCCTTTCCAAGGGTCGACATGCAGTTCGGACTTCATTGAAAGGTCGCATGCTAACCGGTCCGAACCAAAACAGGAATCCCCTGGGGTGCCTTCCAGAGCGTTACACCCGCCTATGCCTCCGAGGTTGCGCCGATGGTGCTTCGCCCATACCTGACAACCTTCATCAACATGTGCTGGGTGATTGGCCAGTTCTTCGCCGCCGCTGTCAACAAGGGCTCGGTGGACCGGACCGATCAATGGGCGTACCGGATCCCCTTTGGCGTGCAATGGGTCTGGCCGATTCCCATCTTGGCCGGTCTCATCTTCGCTCCCGAGTCGCCTTGGTGGTACGTCCGCCATGGCAGGAAGGAAGAGGCCAAGCAATCGCTTCTCCGTTTGACCTCAAGGAACCAGCCTGGATTCAATGTGGATGAGACGCTGGCTATGATTGAGCATACGAATGAGCTCGAGAAGCGGCTAAAGGAGGGTGTTACGTTCCGCGACTGCTTCAAAGGTATTGACCTTCGCCGTACCGAGATCGTCGTGGGTATCTGGCTTGTTCAAACACTCGGCGGTCAGAACCTCATGGGGTACTTCTCCTACTTCCTCACCCAAGCTGGCATGGATGCGAGCAACTCGTTCTCGCTTTCCATGGGTCAGTACGCCCTCGGCATGGTCGGCACCGCCGGCTCGTGGTTCCTCATGTCGCGGGTCGGTCGTCGGCGCATCCACTTCAGCGGTCTCTGCGCGCAGTTCTGTCTGCTCCTCATCGTCGGCTGTCTCTCTTTTGGCGGTAACAAGGCCTCAGTGTGGGCCATCGGCGGCGTGCTCATCGCTTTCACGTTCGTCTACGACTTCGCTGTCGGACCTGTCACGTACTGTCTCATTTCCGAGCTTTCATCCACCCGTCTAAAGGCCAAGACCATTGTGCTTGCTCGTGCGGCGTACAATGCTAGCAATATCTTTGTCAACGTCATGACGAACTACCAGCTGAGCTCAACAGCGTGGAATTGGGGTGCTAGGACGGCATTCTTCTGGGCGGGTAGCTGCTTGCTGTCGGCTATTTGGGTGTTCTTCAGGCTGCCGGAGCCGAAGGGGAGGACGTATGCTGAGTTAGATATTTTGTTCGAGAAGAAGGTTGCGGCGAGGAAGTTCGCGAAGACCAAAGTTGACCCATTTGATTTGCAGAGTCATGGGGAGAATAAGTTGTCGCTTGAGGAGACACAGAGCCATGAGGCGAAGGAGGTTAAGGCTTAGAGGGTGCGATCGGAAAAAAACTCTAGTTGATGTGTGTTAGATAACGAGTTAATGATACCTTTAGGGCTTTTTGGTATGGCGTTTCCTTGTCATTGTCTATTAGAAACCGCGAGTGTCCCATATCATTCTCGGGAAGCAATGTTGGGTTTGTGGGCCACAGTAGCTTGGTTATCCGGCTGTGCTTCTTCGACGAGATGACCTCCTGGATGTAATGAAATCCTCTTGGAGAGATCCAAAAAGATAGGATGAGTCCCGTGCTTACAAAATGAAGTTAGCGACAATACTTATTGAAATGCTTCATCAGAAAGACAATATCCAGTAGTCTCCGTCGAGTAAATGCTTGTTACCTCTTTTGCCTCCCTTTCTTGGTGGCCGCTCTGTTTCCCTTTTCAGGCAACTTGGGAGCTCGCTAGGGGCTAGTGCCAAGTCAATATAGCGGGTATAGTGCCGTAAAAGCTTGAAATAAGGCAAGGTTTCATTGGGGAAGATGTCCGGCAACCAGGGATCAGCACCCGATCACACCACCACGTACATTCCAGATTCTAGGCCCGCGCAATCTTCTCTCCCCTTTTCCACCACACATCTTTGCCTGTCGATAACAGTCAGTCACTCAAACTGAGCCAAACCGTAAACCAGCTCTGCCAGAAATAGAATTGACCTCGCTTCTTTCCCTTAGAACCGGGGCAGCACGTCTTTGGTCGATTTTCTGACAAGGGACGGGACACGGGGAGAGGGCAGGACCGGCACCGGCGGCATCATTAAAACGCACCATGGGAAAGTAAGACGGCGTTATTAGGCGACAGGCGACGACATGGGTGGGAGTGACTATGACGACGATAACACTGTCGTCAACCGACATGTCCCCGACGGCACCGTTGTTGCAACTGCGCCTGCGCTTCCTGGCCATTCGGTTCAGCCCGCGACCGCACCCACAAGCGGCTCTTCATCCTCGTCCAATGCGGTAGCGTCGATGCCGTCGAATCACGGTGACATCCCACCAGCGACAGGTCCAGGTCCAGTACGAAGACAAAAGAAAAGAGCCCAAGTCTCCAAAGCATGCCAGCGATGCAGGAGGCTGCAAAAGGGATGTAGCGAGTCGAGGCCGTGTCAGAGATGTATCGGAGTCGGACTCGAAGACCAATGTCTCCGGAGTGAGATGGTGATTGAATGTCATCAGAGTGGAAGTCGGCAACACGGGGAACAACGTCACCCCCAGGCCCACTCCCAGAGACAGACACAGACACATGTAGTACTGCCCCGGCTTCATGCCGGAGTTGTGCCGGTTACAGCAGCAGCAGGTGCAACAACGTGGTCCTTCACCCAACTCCCAGCCAGCCCGGAGAGTTTGGTGAATTATCCTCTCGTGGGCGGTACAGCATCAGCCAGCTCACCTCACCAGATCCAACAACATCACCTCCAACTTAACACCAACCCTCTTCCCAAGGCAGTACTCGACCATTGCATCTCCCGGTTCTTCTCCCGGCTCTACCCGACCATCCCCATCCTTACCCCTTCCTATGCTGACCACCTCCTTCACGTCTCCTCCTCGCAGACCTCTAAGAATGGAAGCACAGAAGCCAACCTCCTAACCTCTCTCTGCGCCTTGATCCTCCTGCAGATCGAGCACCCCACCACTCACCTCTTCACCTCGCATGGAATCCCACACGCTAACTCCGTCTACGGCCGGCTGCTATTCGAAGAGGCGCAAGCCAGCCATCACCGAGCTTTGGCTCTGGGTGGTGCGCATGGTGCACAAAAAAGGTTTGCTCCAACTCTGGAGAGGGTTCTGATCACCTTTTTCTTGTACGCATGTCATGCGGTGTCGTTTCATCATAGCCAGGCGTTCTTTTGGTTGAGGGAGGCGAGCACTTTGTGGGTTGTTTTGAGGGTTGATGATGCTGACTCCTGTCCTGGTCCGGGAGGAGGAGATGGAGAGGGTAGGGAGGTGGCAAGAACGAGAAAGGTACTCGCAGACCGGTTGTTTTGGGTGTTGCTGGTGAGCGAACGGTCGCATGGGATAAGGTATCGGAGGCCGATAACGCTCCAGATTACTCCCACCACCCCATCGCTGGATTTCCGTAGCGACCCGGAGTCTGCCGGGTTAGCGAGCTTGGTAGCGCTGTTCAGGCCGCTGGATACGGGGTTTATGGCGTTGTTGAATCAGGAGGTGACAATGACGGCAAGTGCATTTGGAAGTCCGGCACTGGTGGCGGGGCCATTGGATGTGGTGGAGAATTCAATTGCGGAGGCGGTGCCCGGGCCAAGTCTGAGTCCGACGACTGGTTCCGGGACGGGTCTCGGTTCGGATCCGGGGATGGGGCCAGTATCCCTGCCATCAATGTCGCCCGATGGACGACTTGTCGATTCCACCTGTGTGTCGCCGACGTCAACAACGCAAGCTCCTTGCTTGCTCCCCACCGGCCACCTCCACACGACCCAAGTCGCCAACCTGAAAATCACCCAACTCTGGCTACGCGTGATCCTCTGGCAGATCCGGTTGCGCATCGGGTTATTGATCCCTCCTCCTCCTCGTCCCGCCACGACAGTCGCTTCCTCTGCCGTTGGTGGTGCAGAGGTGAAAGAGTCATTAACCTACCACCACCCCCTCTCCATCGCCCACGAACTCGTCCTCGTCACCAAGTCCCTTCCCCTCGAGAGCATCCGCATCCATGGCGTCGGATTAACGGAGAAGGTATTTGACATCGCGTGTGCCATGGTTGATGTTTTGGCAAAGGTGCCTTTGGAGGATCGACGGAGGTCTCTGGCGGTCTCTGGGCCGACGTTAGGGTCGTTGTCATTACTGACAAGGGTGGGGCAGGAGGAGAGGGAAATGCACCTCCAAGAAAGAGAAGAAAGGGAAGATCTGGAGTGGATCAGAGGGCTGATTCATCGGTTACCCGGGGGTGAAGCGATTTATGATGAGTTGTTGGGAAAACATATTGCTGGTGTGTTGCCGGGAATGGGTTTAAGGGCGTTTGAGGATTGATTGCTGTTCATGAAAACCGTCCAGTTGTCGGGTGCGCGGGCACTTGGAGGGAATTACGGTTTCCGTAAGTCGCAGCTTGAGGAGCTTGAGGTGGGGGAGGCAACCAATTGACTGGGAAAAGTCGCCATGTTTCTGGAGAAGAAGAGAATGGAAGACATCCAAAGGCGGGTGCCCGTCGGTCCCGACAGTGGGATGACATCTTTGGATTTGGTTTCTTTTGGGGTTAGTTGGGATCCGTCCGGATGACGGAGTTTGTTCGCGTGAGAAAAGATTTTCATTGACAAAATGATGGATGTTGTACATGTTTCAAATCACATGTAAACATGACGTATGGTAGATGAGACGAGCTTCACAAACCGATCAACAGCAACACTCGAGACGATTATAAATGTGATGGGCAAAGGAAAACTAAAGATTTTACAAACGACAGAGAAAGAGAAACCTGTCGGAGTGTTAATACGAGGCAAGAAAAAAAAGTGCAAAAAGTTGCAAAAAGAATCGCCCACGGCGAGACTCGAACTCGCAACATTCAGATGGCTTAGAAGACCGATCAAGGTTTCTTAAAAGTCTGACGCGCTAACCAATTGCGCCACGCGGGCTTTTTGTGTGATTGGCCGTGCGGAAAGTCCACTCATAAACGTGGGAGGACCTTGTGCCCTATGGCAAAACATTTTCATGCGAAACGAAACACTACGAGCACCATCATGACAAACCAACAAACCAACAAACAAGCCACCCCCTCCCTTGCCAGCTGTCTGCCAAATTCTTGCTGTTGTTGTTGAACGGAACAGACAAAGGAAAGAAACCAACAGATCCAAATTATCAACCAGTTCTGAGTTCGGACTCCTGTGTGTGAATAAAGGAAAAAAAAATATCCAGCTTTTATTGCATTCCCATTCCCACAACCACATCCTCTTCAAAACTCTTCTCCTTCTCCCGGGGTATATGTTCCTAGTACCTTACTCTGGCTTGATAATAATGCACTTTGTTCCATTCCATCCATCGTCCAACCCTCCCCTTCCCTTCGCAACCAGTGCAGGCTTCGCTTTCTAACCCAAGTTAAACTCGCTAGCCATATTACCCATCATCTTCATCATCTTCTCCTTCATCCTGCGTCCCGCATCCTCATCCGCCGCACCAAAGTCCCTATCATCATCCTCGTTTCTCGGTTTCCTGACCGTAGAAGAACCATCGCCCACCGACCTGCTCGTCTTATTTGTCTTATCACCAGGCTGCACAGGCCTGTGCGTCCTTCTGGATACACCACCGCCGATTCCACCGGGCGCCTCGCGCAACCCAAAGGCTTTGGCCATGTGACCGAGATGTAGCGCGGTCATGTCAAAGTAGACGCGCTCCTCCCGGACGTGCGTGGCGTAGGCGCGGATGTGCGAGCGGAAAGCCTGGCGGGCCGAGACGAGGAGCGGGTTGTCGGGCGTCTTGTTCTCGTCCTTCTTGGCATCCTTCTTACCCTTCTTGCCTTGCTTTGAGGCGGCGAATTTCTCGCTCTTGGATTCGAACGCGGGCGTGGCGCCGGGGAGAGGGGCGAGGAGACGCTGCTCAAAGTGTAGCTGGAGCGCTTCGGCGCGGGAGGCCCATGACTGACGATCGGTTTCGAGAATGCCGGACTCGGTGCCGGGCACGTTGATGGTTGTGGCGAAGCCCTTTTGCAGCACAGAGTCGTAGAGCTGGGGTGCGATGGGGGTCGACTTGGGCAGAATAGAGATGTAGCCTTCTTCGGAACCGGGAAGGAGGAAGAGCACAGCTTTACCGGCGCGACCGGCACGCGCGGTACGACCGATACGATGCATGTGGTCGGGCACGGCGAAGGCCGGATCGTATTCGATGACGAGTTCGACAGCCGGAACATCGAGACCACGGGAGGAGATATCGGTGGTGATGAGCACGGCGGGGTCCTTGCACTCGCTGAAGGCCTTCAGGGTGGCGGTACGGACGGGCTGAGCGAGCGAACCGTGGAGCTTGTGTAGCATCACCGTAGGGTTAGCTGGGGAGGTGATGTATGTTGCTGGCCCGACGGTCGTCTCGATGTGGATATTCGGCTTGGTGGGAGCTTCGCCTTCGGGCTTGGGTTCGGGCTCAGCGCGCGGTGCGGTAGACTTAAGGAGCTCGAAGTGGTAGTCGACCGAGTCGGCACACGAGATGAAGATGATGGCCTTCATGACCGAGCCCTTCCTGGCAAAAGTTGACTTGAGCAGCGCAATAAGCGTGACCAAGCGCAACTTGGCGGGTGTGATGATAGCGGCCTGCTTCAACTGGGCGGGCGCAGAGAACGCCGTCTCAACGGCACCAGTCTCCGCATCCTTCTCCATGTCGCTCTTGGAAGCAGTGATGTGAACAGCGTCCTCCAAACTGATCTCGCCCAGCTTTTGCACGTTCATCTTCATGGTAGCCGAGCAAAGAACCGTGACTCTCCTCGAAGGGAGAACACCGTCCAGAACCACACCCTCGGCATTCTTCTTCTGTAGTGTACCCGCCCTGATCTTGCCGACGATGGTCTTGATATCGTCCTCGAAACCCATCTCCATCATGCGATCGCCTTCATCGAGCACCAACCAACGGACAGTACCAACTTCGAGAACCTTTGTGTTGTCGAGATGATCCGTCAAGCGACCGGGGGTGGCGATCAGGATGTTGACACCCTTTCTGATGCGCGCCTTCTCGGACTTCTTGCTCTCGCCACCTATTACCGTGGTGCACACCAGCCATGGAGCGCAGCGCAGCACCTTTTCAAGCACAACAGAGATCTGCTTGCAAAGTTCGCGGGTGGGCGCAAGGATGATGGCAAAGAGTCCCGAGTTGCGGTGCACCTTGGTGGCCTTGGGGGTACCATCCTCGTTGTGGCTGAGGGCCAATATCCTGTGGACGATGGGGAGGAGGTATGCTAGCGTCTTTCCGGAACCCGTCTCGGCTTGTAGGAAGGCATCGGTATCCTCCTTGATTAACTGTGGTATCGTGTTCTTCTGGATGGCTGTCGGGGCCTTCATCTCGAGCTTCGTGGCCAGGTGCTGGGATACACGTCGGGAGAGACCCAATGACAGGAAGTTCTCTGCTTCGGCAGTAAGGGGAGCGTTCGAGGGTTGTGCTGGCTCGGCCTCTTCAACCTCAGCCTCCTCGAAGTCGGTTACGGGAACGGGGTTCGAGGTAAACAGTCGCGACGATACGAGGCCGGTCTTCATGGCATGTGTCGGGGGCGGCGCCGGGCCTCTCGGGGCGGGATTGCTTGTTCGTGGGGTCTTTGAGAATCTGCCTGAGTCGCCATCTTCTGTCCGTTGACGTTTTGCGCCTCTGTTCGCATAGTAGTCGTCTCGTCGCCCTGTCGAGGCCTCTTTTGTCTGATCATTTCCACCCCTCTCGCCCTTTTGCGCCTTGACTCTGTCCCTCCAACGACCACCCGTGTACTTGACGGTCTGCTTGATCGGAGCATCTCCGATCTCGAAGTTGAGGAACATGCCATCGTCCGCCATTTTGATTGATTTTTCTGCAAAAAAGGGGTGTGGTGGCGCTGGCAAAGATCAATTGGAAATGGGGAGATTCGATTGTATGGGAAGACGAATGGTCTGGGAATTGGCAGAAAAAAAGTTCAACGTCCATGTCGATCCCCGCAACACAGTGGCCCTCAGTGGACTGGCACTCCGCGCCGTTATACTGAAAGTGGAATTGGGTCCTTGGCCAGATCAAAGTGGGGCTCCCGCTGTGTAAGTGGACCGTATCAGCTCGCACTGTCCCTGTATCATTCATCCGCCCTCTTCACCAGAAGGACAACATCAATGCTTGAGTCCGGAGAATGATGATGTTGTACACATGTTATTTCATTTGCCATCAACCTTAATTTGCACTTCAAGTGCGAAGAAGACCTGGTCTAGTTGAAAATCCCATAATCCGGTGCGCATAGACTGTCTACCGTATTGTCCGGATCCCCCCATTGGATACATTTGGGACTGATGAAGACGATGTTGAGTAGGGAGTTGCTGAAACTTCATTATTTGACTTCCCATCAATAGATTTCTTAGGCATAGTACCAATGGTTGGAATAATGTTGCTGTGTCCCTCACCTCGTAGCTACCTGTTGCCATTTGCAGAACTTTTATACAGATCCATCTTCACTGGCAGTTAGCTCTGGGTGATTAGCTAGTCCCTTCAGCCTGTGGTAGTCAATGAGTGTCCGAAAGGCGAAGGAGTTGTAACAATAATCGAACGTGGACAGTCCAAAATACCTCGCTTTGGCTAGAAATTACCGCCGCAAAACTATTGTGGGGATTATAGCAAGTTGGAAATACATTGAACAGAGTCCATCAGGAATCTCTTCAAGGTAGAAGATGCCTAGAGGCTAGTAGAGGTTTGAGAGAATAAGAGAGACGCTTTAATGCGCCCTGATCATGACCTATTCGGTCTCTTTTTACGACCTCCTTTCGACAAGATAAACATTAATGATCATACTCAGCGGTAACCGCAAGACGTGACAGTGGTAAATCGGACAAGGGGACCGAAGTGCATTGGAGGTCAGTCGAGATGAGATCGGACGAAAGATGAACCGAAATGGAGTTCAAGAAGAGCTGTAACGGCAAGGCTGAGGGCCGGTCGTCACATATGACTTTATACACAAGTATACCTCTTCGCATGCCCTTGAAGTTGTGGCCCGTATTGCCAGCAACTTATCTGAAGATCTCAGGCAAAATCACATATAACTGCATGGGAAGCAAACTCCCCAAAAGAGCATTTGCTGTGGTGCCATGAAACCCATAACTAACAGGCAAAATGAGGAATAGGGTTGCCAGTTCCAACTTTGGAACCACCAGAGTGAAAACACTTGTTTGCAAATGGCTTTGAACAGAGCAAATAAGGACAATCTTGGTATAAATCACAACATCTAGGGCTTCGACATGTATCGGCCAATACCTTCTCACCACTCATGATACAAAGCTCCCGCCAACCCCCATCCATCACAAATTCACACCATGCAAACATGCTCTGCCTCGCTGACTCCCATCTAAAAGCTGTAAATCTGATCCTGTGTATAGCCCAACTCCTGCAACACACCCTTCTTCCCA